AACTGAGGGTCACTAACCCAGTGTCCTAGGGAAGAAAAGTCTCCAAGTACCAACCTCTTCTATTCATTGCCCCGAGGGCCTCGCCCAGAGAAAGGGGTCTGGTCCCCCGCATAGCTCTGCTGTTCTCAGTGAAGGACCAGGGGCCCTCACTGTTGGCAAGAGACAGGCTGGTCCTTTGAGGGTTAATCTGCCGGGCCAGCTTATCACAGGGGTCACTGAGATGGGCAGAGACCAGTTGAGCATCCCAGTCCCCCATGGCTGGTCTGCTAATTACATTTGCAATTATAAGCACTACAGCCTCCCTACACAGGGACCCAACCACATTGGGCCAATGGGACAACCAGATGTAACCAAGCCCCAGGCCACTCTGGATCCATCAGGAGACACTAGGGCCAGCTGAAGCCTGTGGGCCCCACCTCTAAGGAAAGGTCCTCTCCGCAAGCAAACATTCCACAGAGATGGATGAGTGTGTTGGGACAGCAGGCACTAAGGAGGCTCTGTTAGGGGTCACAGACATATACCACTGAATTGTTTTTTCCAGTCTTAAAAGCAGCAGGGAGTCTCAAGGGCACACAAGCAGAATGTCCAGGGTGCTTCCAAAATGGATGACTGGTTTGGCTCCAGCCCATCCTTAACTCAACCCTCGCAGTTTGTAGGAGCAACCTGCAGACCCTGGACTCACAGCCCACTCTTGCTCCGTGTATTTTTGCAGGACCACAGAGCCCCAGGAGCTGAGCATTCCAGCCAAGCTGGAACATTGCAGTCACAGAGTCAAGAGAGTCACCAGAATCCACGGTAGACATTCTCAGGGGCCATCAGCAGTGCTGGCTATGGTGGAGCAGAGCTCCTATCTATGTGGGAAGAACACTTTGAGGGGTCTCCTGCTGAGAGAGGTTGGCAGACCTGATAAAAAAGCTAGCAGGTGATGAGGGCATCGGGATTGGGGCAGTCAGGGTATGGCTCAGGCTTTATTTGAGAAGGTAAATCGTGGCCTAACTATCTACCATTCTTTCCTTTAAATTTGGACCATGACTTAATCAACTTGAGATGACAAGTTCCAGGGAGCCGGGTCAATAGCACCCTGCCTCTGGTCTGTCCAATGCCCTGCTCCTCCGCCTGCAGCCTGCCTGCTCCCTAGCCCTTCCCAGCTACATCCTCAAACACTGCCGTAGCCTGGAAATTACAGAGACCTCTACTCCAAAGAAGCAAGGCATCCTGCAGAGGACCAAGGAAGGAGAGAAACTTTCCAATGACTTTCATCTCTCTTCAAAAACCATTTGACAGAATGTCCAGCTACAGGGACAGGGATGAGGCACAAAGCACAGCGGCGGCGTTATGAGATCTTGACTGAGGACAGGGCGCTCTGCGAGGGCCCAGTGCGACATCAAGTCACTATCAGGGCCTTCCCCGAAAGTCCCCTCTGTCCCTTTCCTCCTGGACTAAATGGGATATTTATTGATTACTCCAAATCAATAGAATGAAAATGTTCCTGTTTGGGGGATCAAGTTGTTTCTCTTGTGTATGCTCTTAGAAAAGAAAAAAAATCTTTTCATATACTGTAATTATTGGCAAAATAGAAGATGGTTTCTAAAGAAAAGGAATCGGTATAATAATCAGCCCCAAGAGGAAATTTCCAAGGATACGGGGCTGTAATGGACAAGGAAGGGCCTGAGCACTGGCTGGGCCCTGTGACACTGACCTAATGTTTTTTCTATTTATTGCCCCAGGGCTGAACAATTCTGCCCAGCTCTCCTACGAGTCTCTACCACCTAGCTACACCTTCAGGGGAGTGGCAGACAGATAAAGGTTTATTTTCCGCGGCCCCTTCCCTGAAAAAAGCCACAGCTAATGCCTCCACTCTCATTTATTTTTGCATGTACCATTAAAAATTAATTCCCCCCTTTGTTTTTCTCCAGGTCACTGATTTTGAATTACCATGTGGCATTTTTCCTACGTGTGAACCCACATATTTTACCTTCGGGACAGTTTGTTCTTTGTTTCTTTAACAACAGCATAGTGGTCCTCCTCCTCAGAAGGGGGCAACTCCACCCCACCCCACCCCAGACACACACATTGGGTTTTCTGTGCCTCAGGGTCCCTAGCAAGTGCGTCATTGACTCCTTCCCACACAGGCACAGAAGAGCACATTCACCCGGGCTTCCACAGGTCATACATGGACATAAAATACGGATTAGGAAGGGTGAGGGAGTCACCTCCAGGATGGACTATGGGGAAATGAAGACGAAGTGCAGAGAGGTAGGAAGGTACATGTGTGTGCTCATTTCTCACCTGGGACAGTGAGGATGGCAGAGTGTGACAGATGCTCTCTGTGTGTTAGGAGGAGAGCTTCAGGCTTCCCCTTCTCTGAGCTCACACTGCCTGTGCCCTTGGGCTTTCTCGGGTCTGGGAATGTCAATTACCACGTGGAGGTAAAACCTGTATGCACAGAGCACATGATCCCCTCCCCCCAGTCCGCTCCACTGCAGGTTCTCTGAGAACCCCCAGCCCGTGGTAGATGCTTGCAGGCCCCCATCCTTCCAACAAGCCAATGTGTGCAGCCTTCTGTTGGGTTACTTTGCTAGAGGTAGCCCCCCTGCCACCCTCCAAACACCACCCTCTGTCCTTGCCAGGCTCATCCTCCTGCGCCTCTGCACCAAGGCTTCTGCACACACCTGTGTGAACTGCTGGCTACAGCTCAGAGCCACTGCCTGGAAGGGCTTCAGTTTAAAAACAAACAACAAACAAAACAACAGCAGTTCACAGCTGTTTGAGTCCTCAATGACAGCAGGCAGACTTTTGACTTTCGGCAAGGTTGCTCACGGATAGAGAAGCTATTGTTGTTATTATTTGGAGAAAGGAAAAAAGAAAGAAAAGAACCAGAAAGGGCAGAGAATCCACAGCACTGCCAGGTTTCGTTTAAAAATGATTTCCTCTTTACGCCTTACCCAGACCTCCAAGACCTCGGCTCCAGCGTCCTGTTTGTTGCCTTCCTGACATTCCCCTCTTATTATTCCACATTCCCCCACAAACTGAAACCAGGCTCTCTGCGGGGTCTGCCAAGAGCCTAGCTCTTCACCCTGGAGCTGCCCTGGCTTACTTGGTCAACACTATCAAAGTATACATCCCTGCCCCTCCACAAACACGCACACACATTCTCATATTGATTGATGATGGCTTGACCCAGGGACAAACACAGAGATATTTCGAGCTCCACGGAAGAAGTCACCTCCGGAGAAAGGGAATCTAAATAATTTAAATAGCCAATATTTGTCGTACTTGGTGATTTTATGCGAGGAAATGCCCAACAAGCACCACACTGTCCATACCCTCAACCTATTCTTTCACCGGAGTTCTCCTGGTTCTCATACTCCATCCTGTAGCCCCGGGAGCCGCAAGCAGCGTAACCTTGAGAGAGAATGAAAAGCCACTTTTCGAGCTGATGTAAGTCAGAATCCATTATAATTAAGGACCCGCTTTCCTTTCCCTGCCCACCACCTCCGTCTAACCCTCTGTTTAAATTCTGCAGGTATCTGAAGAACTCTTTGCCCCGGAGAAAATCGTAAAACTAGAAGCGAAATGGTCAATGTGGGGGCGTCCAGGACAACCCCCGCTATCAATGCTGCGGTACTGCGAAGTTGCCTCCTTGTGCCCGCCCGCGGCAAGCCCCGTGGTCTCCGAGGTGAGGTGGAGGGTTCGAAACTTCACCGAACCGGACGTGAGCCACAGCCTTTATCTTAGAACTGCCTCCCAAGTTCTCTGGCGGGATGGTGCAGGGAAAGGATAAATGGTGGGAAAAGGAAGGGACCGTGGTAGGCAAGAAAACCTGACTTCGGTAAGTTTGTTTCAGAAGAAAAAGGGGGGGGGGCGGGGAGGGAAGAAAAGCACAAAGTTACTTAGAAAAGCTGCCGGCTAGAAGCTAGAGTTTATATTTGATTCGTTTTATCTTTATTATTAAGCCTGCGGAGGACCATTTTCAGGTCCGCACAACGGGTCCGAACGCTCCGGGTCCCACCCAAGCGCGGTGGGATACCGAACGCCTGAGCGGAGAGCCTGGTAGGTGCTGGCGCAGTCCGTACGGCCACCTTGGAGAGCGCGGGTGGCCCTGGTTGAACTGTAATAGCCGGAACAGGACCCCGGGGCAGACACTCGCGGCTTAGGGTCAGTTCTTCCCTTCCTACCCAGCAGGCTCGGAGAACTGTCCCAAGATCCCGGAGCTACCAAGAGTCGCGCGTCCAGCCGCCGCAGCCACAGCCACCCACGTCGCTCTCATAACCCACGTTCTGGCGCTACTCAGCCCGCGGCGGAGAAATAGCGCTCGACCCGCTGCCCAGAACATCCAACTGACTTCACCTCCACCGCCGCGCCGAGCGGGCCGCCCGGGCTCCCGGCGGGACACGGTTCCCCTAGCAGGGCGTGCAGAGCACAGCGCTCCCGGCCTCGTCACACCCCAGGGGGCTCCTGGGACCACCGTGCCGAGGGTCCCGCCGGGACCCCGGTGCCCACGCAACACTGACCGCCTGCGGTTCCCGTCTGGATCCAGCATGCTTGATTTTCTAACCCTGGCTGAAATCCTATTAGGTACCTAGAATGGAAATCAAAGCACCCGCGGGGAGGATTCCTAGGACGGGACAGAACACCCTTGCAGCCACGTTCCCGCACCTGTCCTGGGCTTCCGCCTTCCCATCACGGAAATGGAGATATTTTGTCACCGTGGAGCAAAATCAGAGTGAATGAGAAAGCGCCACTGCTGTCTAAAAGTGAGGGCTCATGAAAGAGGATGCGGGAAAAGTTAAGAGGAGGGTTTAAGCCAGAGAGAGAAACCAAGCAAGTGTGTGGCTTCCCCCTACTAAGTCCCCGAGTGCCCCCCACCCACCCAAGTCCGTGTCACTTCAGGAATGTGTAGAAGAGGAACTGCGACATCCAGGACAGAGACACTTGGATGGGCAGAAGGGCGGACGGACGGGCGGGCGGACAGACAGTCGGGAAAGTAAGGCACCTACTGGTTGTGGTAGCCGAGGGGGTCCGGGATGCAGAGTTCGGACACGTCCATCAGTCCTGTTTTAGCATTCCCAGTTGGAGGAGACCGGCAGCGGGGAAATCACGAGGAAGACGAGTGAAGGGCACAGGCGAGGTGCGAGTCCCCGGCCGGGCACGGTGAGCGCGAGAAGGCGGAGTGGGAAGACGCGGACCGCGGCGGGGGAGTCGGAGGCAGGAAGCCGCGCACAGCCCCGCGCTCCCACTCATCCGCGCGCTCAGCGAACGGGCAGAGGGGACGCGAAGCCTTGGAGGAGGCTGGGGCGCCCGACACTTGGAGCCCACTAACCCTACTGTAGCTTTAAGGCTGAGAGACTGATGTATGATTTGGCTCCCATTGGCTATCTCTCAGGGGCTGGACTTAAAGTGACAGAATCGAGCTGGGGTGGGGGAAGGGGGGCCAGCCCGAGAGACTTCAATGGAATAGGACACTCCCGCGGACAAGCAAGGTCTCCATCTCCTGTGGAGTAGGAAGGCTGGATTTTTAGAGTCCTAATGCTTGCATTCTTGCTCTTGCAGCTGAAAAGCGGAGCGGGGGGGGGGGTTTCCAACAGACTGGTGGGACTTTTAGGGGGAGGGTGCCAACATATGCACCCCCCACCCACCTACCAACCCGGTACACAGCTCTAGGAACCAGCAAGCTTGGCAAACCCCTCCTCAGCCTCTCAGAATGGGTTTGTTCTCCAAATTACAAACTAATCACATTCCGCACCATCACCACCACGGAGCAGCGGCCAGGAGCTTAGAAATTCGTGTTTAGTATGTAAACACGCCAAGGGTCAGGCCAGCAGCAGGTGAGGTGCAGCCAGCCAGAGGAGAGAGGCAGATTCCCTTCCCAGCTCCTCTCACCTGGGTCTGCTCTGAACCGCTGGCATGTGACTAGATGAAGGGTATGTATCCATAAAATGCCTCTAGACTACAAAGTCAGGCTTCGCCCATTGCCAAATCTCAATAGTGTACCCAGGACACAGGCCCCGGGCCTAAATCCCTGTCTGCTTGGAAAAACACAATTGTGCTTTTAAACCCCCAACATACTTGTCACAGCTTCTCTGAGGCACAATTTGACACTTTCAAATGCACACCTGAATTCCCAGCTATCAACGCACCTGCATCCCTGTCTGCCTCTCCCTCTGTGAACCAGAATATTGTGGGCTGCCACTATACCAAAATAAGCCAAAAGTCAAGTCCAAACTCTTCTTGTGGGGCTTTTCATCTTTGGAGATGTGCCGGTCATGGGGGTAATAATCAATCTGATGACTCAAATGAGTATGTGTGTTGGTGTGGATACAGAATTGTTTAAGGGGGGGGAGGCCCTCAGGAGAGACTTTTACCTTCTTCTCTCATAGTCTACAAAAGACAATGAAATGAACAGTGTTGGGAGGCGGGGAGATATAATTTCATTACCAAAATAATGTCTAAGTGGGCTATACCTGCAGGCAATACTGTGTTTTTAAGGTAAAGCAGGGAAGGAGGTGGTGGAAGTCGCAGGAGGGGTCAGCCAGTCTGGAGGGGTCTGGGAACTAGGACTGGCTACAGGGGTGACCTTTGACTCAGATGAAATGCACTAGTCGGGGCTGTGCAGGGCAGCTGATAGGGATCACGTGTGCTGGAGCAGAGGAAAGCATAGGTGATATGGAGAAGTGGATAGTGATGTTTGCTCTATCGACAGACCCCCGCAGACCTGCATCCTTTAACAAATGGGATTTTATTAGAAACAATGGGGTCCAGAGATGTTGACCTTGACCTTGGTTTCTAAGTGACCCCCACCTCTTGTGGAGGCCTCAGTGCCTGGCTTCTCTGAATTGTTTCTCTCCCCAGCCCATTCTCCAAGCACACACAGGCTCGATAGTGATTCGAAGACGCACAAGCAATGACTCTCGTTACAATACGGAATGAAGCCTGATATTTGGCCTATATGGACATCTTCACACTACAGGATTCTGTGGTCCCTCTGTACCCCGTCCACAGCCCAATTGCTGTACCTGCTACCTAGAAGACTCCCCTCTCTCTCTCCCAGACAGTGACCAAATCTTCAGCCATTCACACTGTTTCAAGTTGCTTAACAGAGTTAGCAGTCACATGTATATTGGTGCGAGAGGTACTGCCCCCTCTTCGCTAGACTGGAAGTCCCACGGGAGGGGTAACTGCATCTGTGCTGTTCACCGGAGAATCCCAGCTTGCGGTACCCAGCAGTGCAAAACACTTTTTTTAAAAAATCCCTTTCCCAGGATACAGCTGTGTGCTGTGCTGCCTTGATGTGCCAGGCAGCAGCAGCAAGAGCCTTCCCTCAGCCCTGAATCATGCAAGGCCCGTAGTGTGCTGTGGAGGTAGGCTATGATGTTCCCTAGGCTGGGTCTAGTCATCGCCTTTCCAACCTGTGATCATTTCAATTCATGATAGGTTGATGGGATGCAGCCCCAGCCTGGCTGAGAAGCACCTGCATTTAGGATTCTCCCCAGGTTTGATAAATGGAGAGATTTATACATTTCCGCGTGTGCCGAAACGTCCTTCCCCAGGTCACACAGCAGAAACCGGCAAAGCATTGTCAGCTGAGGTCTGAATTTCTGCTTGAACCACTCCTTAACGTTTGCAGGCAGGCCTGTCCCTTGCCCTGCCTCCTCTTCCCTGAAGGCAAGCTCTTTCAGAGACTATGAGGTCAGTAGCATGAACCTCTGGGTGTATTCTACACATCGGTCCACTGGGGATGTGGGCACCTGTGCCTACCTCTTACAGCCTGATGGACTCCTGGGAGGGCAAAAGGAATTGCTACCTGGTAGCAGGGGAGGGGGGGGGTCAGTTTCATGACCTGCTCTCTCCCACCCTAAGCCACGATCTGGTGACCAATTATCTACAACCACGGTCATACAACACAGTCTACTCTGCTCCAAAGACCCATGCTTCCCTTGGGACAAAAAACACCAATGGGGCCATCCGCACCGACCTACCCTACCCATTGCTGTATTCCATCATAGCTGGGCTCAGTCCTTAATATTGTCATAATGTCTGCACCTGGGTCTTCTGCCATCCTTGTAGCTACTCGCAGCACAGCAATCCTCACAAATCAAACTTTGCTCCTTCAGAGATGGGTCCCGATTTTATCCTCCCTCCCTTGGGACAGACTCCCCACACCAGCATTAATTCTTTTTCCACAAATGAGGTAGGTGGTAGCTGAGAAATGCCCCTCAAGTTCCCTCATTTCCTCCTTCTACATGTGAGCAACCACAGGAGGAAGCTGCTTGCATCTCTCAAGGCATGAAACTCAACAGAACTGGTAGACTCAGTTTGGTCCCCCAAGAGGACTTGACCCCCCGGTCTCATCACTAAATAAGACCCACCAGGCAGTTTTAGAGGTTCTACCCTCTGGTCGCTAAATCCAACAGATGTGAGAGCTCATAGTTTGGTTATATGCCATCTCTGTCCCCCATCCCGCAGCTCCTGAAGTCAAGGGTGTGGGTGAGAACAAGGTGGTGGGGAAACAGCCAATGTGTAGATACATTTCTTACCATCATACCAGGAAGACAGGGCTGACTCCATGGAGTTGTCTGGATCATAAGCCAAACCTGATTCTGCTCCAGCTCACAGAGAGTTCTGGGGAAGGCGGGCCCTAGGAAGGCATCCATGGACCATCCACAGTAACTACGGCATTGACCTTAACCCGAGCATCCCTGAGGACAGTGTGTCACGGGCTCCGGGCCAGGGGAACAGCTCCAGTCACACATCTCTGCAGATCTGCTGCCTTCTCACATGCTTGAATCTGGGTATGGAGTTATATCTCCCAGTGGGGGCCAGCAGACCGCCAGCCCATTGGCTGGCGCTCGTGCCAAGGATCATAAGGAACTGATAACGCTAACACAATGTGAGTTTGTGCTCTGTAATAGTCTCCTGCTGACAGATAAATGCTACAGAAATATGATGGCTTTTCCTGACGCTCCAATGGGTCATTATTGGGGCTACAAAGCTTGTGTTCTATTGGCACAGCCACCATGACCCCAAAATCTATGAAGGGGGCATCCCCAGTGGATACATGCTGGGGCTCTCGCCTAACACCCCTCTCTGAAATCCATACCAGGGGTCCTGGAAGAATGTCCAGATATTCCAAAACTCTGTTACCTGCTTCCTCATCACACACCCCAAATAACTCATGCTCCCCAATACAGCTGAATAGTATATTAAAGCTTCCTGCTTCGTCTCACAGCTTGGTTCTTCCTGTAGGTCCTGTGCGGAAGACAGCGGAAGGCAGCAGGGAGAAGGAAGGACCAGGGAATTGGGAGACAAAGGGAGAACCAGAGGGCATCATGGCTGTGATAGCATTGTTGACAAGTTCTGGGGGAGGAAGAGAAACGCTGGTGGGACACGAAAAGAGAAGAGAAAGAGGAGCAAGGGAGAGGAGAAGGACAAGAAGGAAAACCGCGCCTTGACAGTACCTAAGCTAAGAGGCGCTGGACACCGAGCTATTGACTGGATGAATGATCTAATTAAATATTTTCCATCACAGTGCATTGTGGGTTTTTCCTATAACAAAGAAACTTGACCTTATTTTTGTCTGTGTCACATATTAATTTATCATCCAATTTCTTGTGACTCTGGCATCAATTTAAGCATAAAACATACTTGACTTGAAACGATAGTATAAGCAATTCATTTCGAGCCTTATTGGTAAAGAAAAAAAACTTCTCAACTGATGACAGTTTAACTACAAATGTCCCATTGTCAAAAGCCTCTGAACACACACACACACACACACACACACACACACACACACAAAAGAAAAGAAAAAAGAAAGAAAATTTGCTTTCAAACTTACAGATTAGACTGCCATTTACATTCCTCCTTTAACTGCATGTCTGTGTGTGCATACATATGTGCCATGGGGAAACATGTCGCGGTCAGCTGGCAAATCACAGGGGTTCCTGCCTTTTGCCATGTGGGGCCCAGGAGTCGAACTGAAGTAATAGCACTTGGTATTAGGTGCCTTTGCCCACCTAATCTCTTCATACAAACTCTCTCTCTCTCTCCCCTTATTCATATTTC